TTGCTTCTTTAATCTTATGTGTTACTCACAGACCCCTCACATCGAAATTGTATTTGATAAAAAAGACCATTTACAGAAATAATATAGAGACATTATTGATTAGAACGTTAGAGGAATGACATGTTGATGTACACACAGTGTATATAACTTGAAAAATATGCTTTTTAGTTTTTTCCGCAACCATTTTGCACTCACAGTGTATTTAGTTTCTAATGAGTTCTTAGTAGTTGTGTGTTCTTATTCTTTATTTGGGTCAGAATTGAACTAAACTTTATTTGGACATGCCCTCATATAATTGTATAGGAATTTAGGTATTTATTTAGTACATAAGTCGGTAATTGAACATCAGAGCTATTTTTTTTGTCTTTTAAGCTTTTCTCTTCCAACATATACTTTATTCTACATTACTAAGATTTTCATTCAATTCAATTCAAATTTGAAATATGTTCATGGTGGTAAGCGCGCGTTTACCCTATGAACTTATGAAGACAATGACAGTTTGTCGAAGGAGCACATAAAGCCCATTATGACCAGAGCTATAAAAACAGCTAATCAGTTAGAGGTCCATGAAATATGTTCATGGTGATAAGCTTATCCTATTAAAAGAAACATGAAGAGACATAAAAGAAAAAACACATTACACAACGAATAACCCCGTGGATGAATGTTTTATATAATCTCAACCACATTGCTAATGTGTTTGCATAGTCACCAAATTCGATCAATTTTTTACGACAATATGGTTTAATCATTGCTAATGTGTTTGCATAGTCACCACACGCTCTCTGTTCTGCGTGTTTCTGTTCTGCGTGTTCCCACACTAATACACTATCACTATTACCCGTAGTCATATTTCGCATAGGTTCTGGTTTTTGTTACAAACTCCAGGACATAACTTTTATTGAAACAACAATTAACAAAATATGGGAAGGAATAACGGCACCTACTTGACAGAAAAAAAAATGTTTAATGACTTGAATGCAAAAAATGGACGAGTACAATGACCAAAGTGAAGATTATATCCTTTATACTATTTTGGTTCATACTCATTTGGCGGTTGTACATATACAAACAACGAGTTCCATTAGCAGTTAAATGGATGTATTCATCAATGTCATAGCATGACTATTCTCCTTTATAAGTGATGACACCAGCATCCAAGTTAGTCTATCATCCATCAATAGCATCACAAGTGTTGCATGTCTTGAACCTTTGGTGACAATGACCTCCTCTACGTAATACTTTGTAACTAGTTTGTAGGCTTTACCCTTGTTTAGAGGGAGCCTTTCCAGAAATTCTCGACAGCCCAGGCATTCACCAGGGCCGAAGAGGGGGTTTGGAAATAGTTTTCAACCAGCAATTGACGCGCCTCGGTATAACCTCACTAGCTGCGTCATTGCCCCAAGCGCAAAGATAATTTTCTGATTAACTCAACGTCTTATTTTATTGACAACCTTCCCCTCTCCTTGTTTATCCGCTTTCGATTTGGGACTATCTTTGCGCAACACCTGAAATCTTAGTGTGATGTGTCTATTGTTGTGTGTCAGTATTTTGTAGTTGCAGAGTTATAGCTAAAATCTTGGCTGTGTATGGCATTGGAAAGACAATGTCTTGACGGAACCTAATCTCATACACTTTGGCCTTAGTTTGATGCTTAGATTGGGAAAAAAGGTTCAGTATCTGGTGTGCATGAGTTATTTATCCTCATTGTGATTTCAACATCTTCACGGTATAGAGCACTTACATATTCAACAAAATGCTCAAAAACATATAGTCACTG